GGGGGGGAGAGAGAGAGAAAGAGATTAAGTGTTGGCTACTCACAGATGATGTAGGTTTAGTAAATGTATCTGAAAGATTGTATTGGACATGGACGCCATCAGAAGCAGCAGGTGGATTTAACTCTTTAGAGCTTCTTGCCAAAGGCCTTTCATGTAGGATTCTTCCACGACTTTCGGCTGTCATCTTCTCCACGCTTGGAGAGTATTTATCATTAAATTGATGCTTAGGTTGGTCCATGCGCTTCATCTGCTCCTCCCATAGCTTCCTTGAATAATACTCATGACCAGTTCCTCCAGTAAGAAAACTGAATAATGTGTTCGACTTGTTTTTTTCTCTAGAGAGATCCTCAAATAGTTTTCCACAGCGAGCAACCAAAGTTGCTACCCCTTCAATTAGAAGTTTTAGATTATTATCATCAGGAGGTGGAACATCGACGGGAGGGGTATCAGCAAGCTTATAGCCACCATTGAGAGGCCCCGCAAATTTGTGGCGGGGTCTAAAATCCTTGGGTATTACTGGAGGATCAAACCTGAAAAATAAATAGAGAAATAAAGGTCAAAAGGACAATATGTAATGTCCACAATGTTTTCATGTTTCAATAGATCGTGTATACTACTCAAATTGATACATCTTTGAATTTTTATATAACTATATTCGACTAACACAAGGAAATAAAATCATGTCCTTTTAGCACCTCTCCAACTGGTAGTCAGAGTTCGATGGAACTCTAAACCCAGGCAATACACCATCTACTTTTCTTTCAATCAACTTTTGTTTACCATCTGTAATCAATTTAGAAGGTGGTTCATCGTCTTCTTGTACGTATGTTTCCTCAAACTCATAACCTGCCAACAAAAATCAATAAGAAAACCACAGAAACATTGCAAAAGTTCAATGTATATGACAAGATTATATGATGAACTGACATATTTTCAACCGATACATCACATCAAAAACAATAATGTTACCAACATGAACATGGTGAAACTTAATAAATTAAAAAGAATGGTGCTCATCATCAAATTCTCAGTAATTTCCACTCTTAATGAGGTAGCATGCTATTTAATTGTTTCTAGCAATGGAAACCGGATGGAGCCAAGGATGGGATGGGGTATTCCTCGACTTGAGGAATGGGGTCAGGGTGGAGTGGATCCCTGTGGGGTAAGTCTTGTCTAGCAGATTGTTCTCATCTAATAAAAAATAGTTAATCATTAACAAATATATAAAAATATTTTTTTAATCTAAAAAAACTCTTTTCATTATACTATTTTTAATTGAAATAATTAGTTTTTAAGAACATTAATGTCTTTTTTTTTTTTTAATTATTTAACTAGAAAAATGTATATATCTACACCTTTTCAGGGTTCAAAATAAATAAGGGATAGGGTTAATTTGCGGCAGGAAATGTGTTCCTTGTCAACATTCCCATTTTTAACCAAGACTGCTTGCCCTGTTTGGGGTTTTTGCCATCCTAATCTAATCTTATGAACATACGATATATTGAAATACCAAGGGGTAAGATGTAAAGCATTAACTAGAGGTGAAAAAAATAAAATAATAAAACTAAAAGCTGTTAAATTGGTATGGTACAAGTATACGATTGCAATGACTCAAAGACTTGATTAAAGCACCAAGTAATAAGCTCGTCCAAATAAGAAAGTAATCATCCATCCATCTTCAATCTTATAGGAGCACCCCAACTCTTCATTTACAAATTATCGTAGTATCATTGAGCTCCACAATCATAGTGATGATTAGAAAAGGACCAGTATCACATGACAACGAGGAAGGAAGATATACAACAAAACTGTTCACATACTGACCAGAGGTATAGACATCCTCATCTTCGACATCAAGTTCCTCAAGTGCACCAATGCCAAAGCCAGAAGCAACCCTCTCAGCTGATTCAGAGAAGTGAATGATTCAGAACCATTGAAAATTTGTATGCTAAAACAAAATAAATAAATAATAAGTTCAGATAAATGCAACCAGACTGAAGGCAAACAAAACATATTAAAAAGCAATTAGAAACTTGAAGTGAACGCAAGTGATGAGGTGCAGAACTTACTCCTAAAGCCAAAAAGATTATTTTTCGTGGAGAAAACTTTTCCGTAACCTTCCTGTTTCCCAGCCGCACGTGCTCTTTTCTTTTCTAAATTAAAAAATAATAAACATTATCATATAAGATACAGAGGGTTAACATAGAATTAGTTGTCCAGAACTTATTTGACAAAAGTTACAAAATAACTAAATACCCCTAAACTCAGGTGCATGCTTGAAAGGATCAAAACCTAAACCGTGCAGATCCTGTTTTGGGTTGATCACATAAACCTGTTTAAAAGAAGAAACAACAAGAAAACAAAATTCTTATCCTCACAAAAAATCCTAAAGCCAAAAGCCATTTGAAACAATGTTAACTAAATGCTAAGAAAATAGCAGAAAACCAACGCATTATCATGTTTAATGAACATTTTACAATTATTCTGACTGAGTGCATAAGAAGTCTTCAGTATGGTTATAAAAAAAAATTATTTCTCTATGGATTTCTGTTGAGGACTTGAGTGTCCTAAAAAATCATCATTATTTTTCTTTGTTCAGATTGGATATCCTTTTCATCTTTAATTATAGAAAACTACTAAAAACACTTTTCCATGAGAACCACAACCCACTAAATAACTAGAAAATAGGGGCACAAACAGTTGTCTTACTGGCGTTCATCTTTAATTATAAAAAACTACTAAAAACACTTTTCCATCAGAACCACAACCCACTAAATAACTAGAAAATAGGGGCACAAACAGTTGTCTTACAGGCGTGCTCTGAGAAGATGAAATATCACCCTTGGCAGGTTGAGGAGAAACACCATCATCATCCTGAAATGATTCAGAATTGTGGATCTCTGATTTGGTATCACCTGTAGAAAATGCTAGAAATGCTTTTCGAGCATCTCTTCGAGCATCTGTCATGAACAAGTTATGGTAGTTATAGTATAGCTGTTAAATAACAAAAAGTGACTGGAGATAAGAACATGTCATCCCAGAGAAGAAAATAAAAACACCACCTAAAAAAACCCAAGTGAAATTACACAATTTTTTTCCAGGTAGCCACTGCCATAGCTTCATCTCAAATGTCAAGTCGAAACACAAAGGAAAAACTTAACCAAGCATAGACAGAGTATTAACGTTCCGAAAGCATTTGCAGAAGTACAACCGGGCTGTACATTGACCAACTGTACACAAGATAGCTAACAAGGTAAAGTTTTTTTATCTTGTTGTTTGTCTTGAGTGCATTAAAATACTGCCAAAAAAAAAAAAGTGTAGAGAAGGTTTCCCCCTGGCCCAGAGTCCAAATTGGCGTGCTTTATGCCAGAACAGTATCAAGACTCAAAACTCACTTTTTTTTCTAGTGTCCCTTCAGTATTAAAGTTAAACGATGTAACGATGAGTTTTGCATGGATTGGATTTTTTACTCTGAAGTGGCCGACTGTGTGAAGCATATATTACAAAAGCACAGCCTAGAGGCCAGGTATAGGAAGCCCCACCACAAAGACCTAATGCAAAAAAGACTTCGGATAAAGGTCTACAAAAACAGCGTGGCTAGCCCAAAACGTGCAATGTCACGGAAGCTATAAAAAGAACTTTTCGCGTCTTTGAAGATTTTCATTTCTTTTTAATCTTGTCTATAGTATTAGAAGCAAGCTAGATCTAACTTCTTTTTTTTATTTTTTATTTTTTAAGAAATTGCAGTGAGAGTGGATCAGCAAGCCAGATGTACTAAAAAAACACTTAATTGGATAACAGGTTACTATATAGCAAAAAAAAAAAAAAAAAAAAAAAAAAAAACCCCAGAAATACAAAAATATGTACATGCAGCAATAAAAGCATGTGATACAATGAGGGAAAATATACCGTAGAGGGAATTAGCTCTTGAGTCCTTTATTGCACGTCCATGGCGCCATCCCATCTTTAATAGTAACTTCACACCTAATCAATATATTTGCTGCTTTAATAAAAAGGGGCTTGGTTTAAATAAATTTTTAAGTCTCTCAAACCAACCTATGGATTCTGCAGCTGGAACAACTAATTCATCAGGAACAGGTCCAGGAATTGCAGATGGCCTGAAAACATAAAAAGTACTTTAAAAAACAAAAGTTCATAATGAATGAAGAAAGAAAAATAATGGGCTGAAACAAACTTGAGATAAACATAAAAGTAAAACTTAGCCACATCTTACCAACATGCAATCTTAACTTAATTTTCTACACAGTAATAAAATCAATCATTCTGGTATCTCCTCTGTTATCTCTTTGACAAAACATACAAGCGCCAACCATGTGAGACAAATCTCTCTCTCACACAGTTTTTCACACAAACTTTGTCCTAAAGAAGATGGGGTGAGGAATAAAGAGAGAGAGCTAGTATTTATGTAAGATCATAACACGTGCTACACACGTTTCAATAAAAGAATGACATTTGTTTTAACAGGAGGGTCAAATGGCAAATAATTCAAAGAACAAGGTCTAGTTGATAGATAAAAACCAAAGAGTCAAACAGAACGACCAAACAAGATACAAATGGACTTTCTGCTTTCTGGGCAAATTTGCATAAATTTTGAAGCCAATCTTTTGTCATATTGCTCAGAGAAGGATACTTATGCATATTAAATACTACCTAGTAAAAATGATGATGAAGATTTTTGGAACAAAATATTTAAAACCGATTAAAACAGATGTGTCAAACACCAATGTAATTACAGTTTATCAAACTTCACAAATAAAGAACGATCAGGTATATATCTTGGATGCATCCCAGTAACTTGGTCACGACAAAACCATGTCATTAACAAAACCCAGCTTTCCAGCCCCAAGCCAAACCCACTCTCAAAGAACAAAAAAGAAAAGCCAAACAAAAGTGAAAACTACAGAACTATTGCATGGGAATTAACAATGTAAGTTAATAGTTAACCTCTGCTGTTGCTCCTTTTCAGCTTGTTTGCGAGCAAGCTCTACTGCTGTGAACCCAAATGTATCAAACTGGAAAGATGTCCCCAGGCCTCGACCTTCCAATTCCTAAATGAAGGATCGAGGGGTCAACAACTTATGGTCTATAATGTATGAATTAAGAAGAAACACACAAGATCATAGACTGAAAAATTATGACTACTTGAGATGTGGCCAAGAAGTAAATAATATAATGCATATTTCATTTAGCAAAGGCATCAATGCTTCAAATGTCAAAGAAGCTGCATGAAGGGGACGGTGATATATTTTCTTTTAAAAAGACAAAAGCAACTTTCCAAGTTGAAAGCCTGAAGTGCCGGACAAGTTATTTCCATTCAATCCAAATCAGATACTGGATGATAAGATACTAGTTGTTTCCTCAAAAAGTGCTAGCTTGAATGCACTGACAAGTACTGTTATTTCAAATTTCAAGAGTAACCAGTTCGACTTCATACATCATTGAAATGGTTTCTTAACTGAACTGACCATTTTCCCAGGCCTATATTTGAGTCTATCTGGACTAGAAAAAGTAGTTAAAATTAGACCGTTCCTCGACAGCATTCTCATAACACTAGAAACCCTTAGGAAAGCCAATACAAGTGCAGGGGAAGTCGCCCCATCAGTCTCATTCATACATTTAAACTTGTTTCTACCTAAGGGTCAAATGGAACATACAGTTTTTTCATCTTCGTCTAAGAAGTTTAAAATGTTTTGCTGCTTGACTTCGGCTCTATTCTTTCGGGATGACGTGAATGACTGTGGAGTCCAACCTGCACAGTTTTTAAAACTAGTGAACAAAACTTGTGTAATTAGATCGAGTATTAATGAAATATACTTGTTTGCACACCTTCTTTTGAGCCCACTGTGTTGTAATGGCCAGCCGAAAATCCACCTGTGAATGCCCCATGAAATCTTCTACGCCCTTCCTCGTCTCTAACCTAATGACAATTATAAACAAGAGAAGAAGGATATTACCAAACGGCTCTGCGATCATTTTGGCTAAAAATTACAAGAACATAACTATATTATTTAGTCTCCACGAACTCAGTATACAAGATCAAACTCAGTGTCAGGTGATTGATGCCAATTTCTTTACTTCCACAAGAAGCAGGGAGTATGGAATCCAAAATGAGTAATACCTCTTGTTTCCAGGAAGGCAGGCTTCGCATGGTACCAGAAGCGTCAGCCACAGATTTCTTTTTACGGCTGTTGATCTCTTCCTCCCGCTCAATCGGCGTTCCATAGAAAACGAAATCTTCTTCGTCCGATTCCATGAGTTTTCAACTTCCAAAACAAAAATTGAAGAAAGGCAACAACGAATGCGGTGTTGAAGAAAACAGATCCTTGTAAATGAAGATTGCGGAACTTATTGTGGATACATTGATGTTGTGGACTTCCGAGTTGCAGAGCAACGAAGCCTCTTCCCGCGAATTGCAGAAGAAGGTGATCGGAACTGGGGTAGGGCGCGCGCTTGTGGGATGATAAAGAAACCGACTCGTAAAGTAGGTGCCTCACAGTTCGATTGCGATTGGGCGTTTCTGGTGAGGGTGAGGGTGACGGTAGGATGAGGAAGCTTACACAAATTCTGCTCACCTCCGAGTTCTTCGTCCAGTTTTTTTTTTTTTTCTTTTTTTCTTTTTCCTTCTTAGGTCTTTGGGTACAGAGATCAAATTTAACCCTTTTTNTTTTTTTTTTTTTTTTTTTTTTTTTTTTTTTTTTTTTATTTTGATTTCAATTCCGATATTCTAGCTTTAATACAATTTGTAATCGTCCAACTCCACCACTATAAACATGGTCTTTGACAAATCACACCCTTGAGCTTAGGGTCTGACACGTCGTCAGCATCTGGCTCTAATAACATTTGTAACGGTCTAAACCCATTGTTAGCTTCAACTTCACAATTTTAAAACGTGTATGTCAGTAAATATGTAATGTTTTATTCGTTTCTTTAATCAATATGGGATGTTACATATGAGTTAGTTAATTAATTTTTTCACCCATGTATATTCAAATATTTGTATTAGTACAATTTTTAAAATAATTGATAAAAGTAGAGGTCTACTTTTTATTTGTGAGACCCATTTAAGTGTCATTTAAGTATAAGAGGCCCATTTATGTGCAAGACCCAATTAAGTATAAGAGGCCCATTTACGTGCGAGACCCATTTAAGTGCGAGGCCCATTTATGTGAAAGGCCCATTTAAGTGCTAGGCCCAGAGCAAGTGGTGGGGGATTCTGAATTTGACCAAAGAACCAATTATCGAATGCCACGACGCAAGACCATCTCTTTCAAATGGCATGATAGATCAAACATTTGGAACAAGACATCCTAAAAACAACTGACTTTTCTAAAAGAATAAAAGAAAAAGAAAAAGAAAAGAAAAGAAATTAAATTAAATTAAAACAACACAAATATATTTATTCAATTCATAATTACAAAGAAAAAAAAGAAAAGAAAAGAGAAGAAAGCATCCAAAGTTCCTTTTCCTCACGCGCCACTCTGCCGCCTGACTACGCTACCCCCTTCAACCAATCAGCGCTAAAAAGGGGAACGCCCACGGGTCCCACCCGATCCAACTTATTCATTCAGTTGCCCTTTATCCACGCGCATCGTTTGCGCGTGGACTACGCTCTGGTGCCTCCTTTGCCCTAATCTCCTGCGAGCGAGATCTTACTCTCTTATCCTGAAGAACCACAATAACCTCTGATAAAAATGCATATATCAACAATGCCCCTCCACCACCACTCCACCTCCTTCATCGCCTTTTTCGATTCCGATCTTCTTCAATCGGTGGGATCGCCGTCGTCATTTTCCGGTTTCGCCAATTTAGTTTTCTCTGTTGGCTTCTCTGACGCCGTAAGTTCCGATCTTCTCCCCCTCCTCTGTATCGTTTTTTTTTTATTTTAATTTTTTCAGAATTTGTGTCTGTTCTCGATTCCCGCCGTTGCTCTAATTTTTCTTTTTGTATTTTTTTGTATTTTTTTGTTTTGTTTTTTTTTTTTTTTTTTTTTTTTTTTTTTTTTTTTTTTTTTTTTTTTTTTTTGTATGTATTGCAGTCTTGAAGGTTAGGTATGGAGCCGATGGACATAGTTGGAAAGTCTAAAGAGGACGCCTCGCTTCCTAAGGGTACTTGTAATTTCTTGCGGTGGTTTTTGGTGTTTTTGTGTGAATTTTTTTGGGGGTATCCCCCCCATGGTGTAGTGAATTTTATATTTTCGTTCGTGGACTAATTTGGTGTTTCTTCTTTTATTTTAAAACAATAATCTGAATTTGGGGATCCTCTGTAAACCAAGTATCTAATCGTGAGTTGAGGTCAATGTCTGGAAATTTTATACATCGCGACTTAAACGATGAAGGGCACCTTTAGTTATCGTCTCCACTGGAGAGGATGCACCTTGATGCTTGTTTTTTTTTTTTTTTTTCTTCGTGGGAAATTGAAACTGGATAATAGGCTTGAGTTCATAGAAGGAAGCCCTTTGCTTGATTTTCATTTTGATTCTCAGTCTTTTTTCTGAGTTACTAGTATGCTGTATTCCGTACCTAAATCTGGATGCCTGAGTTTCAGTTCATTAATCCTCACTTTACGACGATCTTCATAAGAAAGAGTAGCTTTTGAGGACGTTTTTGTTCCTCAAATGATAGTTCCTTACTCCCGTCTTTCATTCATATTTTTTCTTGCATCCCACTTCTGTCTCACTAATTAACCAGTCACCGTGTTTCCAAACGACAGTTCTCTTATTTTAGATATTCTATATAAGATGGTTGGGCCTTCAAAAGAAACAGTTGGGGCTTGTCTTCTGCTTCCTTTAAGTCGGGTTTGTCTTGTAGTTCGTGTTCATCTTTCTAGCTCGACCTTCTTCTTTAGACAGAGTAGCTTTCGTGGACGTTTTGGTTTCCAAAAATTAGTGTTCCTCTTCTCCTGTGTCATTTTTATTTCAGTTCTTCTAGCTTTCATGAATTGGTTCAAACTTTGGTATGGTGTATTTTGGTGACAACAATATGATTCCCTTGTACAAAAGAAGTAATGATGACCATTAAACTGCTTGAGCAAATTGCTGAAGTTTTTCATTAATTAGTTTATTTCTTTGAATGTGGGTGATTCAAAACTTTCATGTTTGGTAGAGATTATAATGCTTTCACCAATTGAGCTATGCTCATAGCATCATGTGCTTTTATATTGTAAACCATAATTTCTGATTCCTCTGGTATTTTGTTTTGTTCAATTTTTCTCGGTCAGCGACTATGACTAAAATTATCAAAGAGATGTTGCCCCCTGATGTTCGTGTTGCAAGAGATGCCCAAGATCTTCTGATTGAGTGTTGTGTAGGTGAGAATATCTTTGCCATTTTCTTTGTGTATTTTAACATTTAATGTATTAGTACTTGGTGTTGGTTTCCTGCACCACTGTTAATAGCCGTTTGTGGCTCTATTATTTTTCGAACAATAATCACATGTAGTTGTCCTTATACACTGCCTTTAATTGTACTATTTTTTATTTAGTTGATTTTTTCTGTCCTCTTTTTTACTATTGTTCCCCCACCCTCTCCCCGGCTTTAAGCTGGTGGCAGTTTTTTATGACAGTGACCAATTATTACTTCTCACTTAAGAATTGCTCTCTCTTTGTTTTGGTGTTCTTGCAGAGTTTATAAACCTTGTGTCGTCGGAGTCCAATGAAGTTTGTAGCAAAGAAGATAAAAGAACAATTGCACCTGAGCACGTGCTCAAGGCTCTTGAGGTCTATGGACTATCCAAGTTACCTTTATATTCGTAATAATATACACTTGTATGTGTTAATTGCTATTATTTTTTTGGAAAATGCCTGCTGAAATTGTCTTTTTTTACTATTCAGCCCCCTGAATTCAGATTTTCCTTTCTGTAGGAGTGGATTTCCCAATTGGTTGTTACAATAATATGACTGAAGTACGAAATCTGAAAAGAAATGAATAGTCTTCAGTGGAATATGAATTTGGATAACCTAACTATACCTTACCAAAATAATATTATCCTATCATATGCTTCTTACAGAAAGTCTTAGTTTCCTCCTATTACATAGAAATGGAGAAATAAATCACAATACATGTTAACAATGTCATGAGGAGTTTGATTACACATAAGAACACTATGGGTGAAGTCCTTCCTTTTCTCAGCTGGAGTACTATCTGTGGATTGTTTTCAATAACTTTTTCATTCATGTGCTTGAAGAAGATGCTTTGCAGCCTTAGCTAGGTTACTTTTATTTTATGTCTGCTTTTGAACTTACACTTATGGTTATATGTACGATCAGGTGCTTGGTTTTAGTGAGTACATTGAGGAAGTTTATGCTGCATATGAACAACACAGGCTCGAAACTATGGTAATGCTCCGCGAGGTCTATATAATCAGTATCTATTTTAATTTGTGTTCCTTAAAGAGAATTCGTTTCCGTGATTCTCTTAACTGGAATTTATTGTCATAAAATTTAGTTCACTTAAACATGAGTGTCCTAAGGCAACTTGAAGCACTAACATTTTTCTTTTCTCTCCATTGAGAAAACTCTCCAGCAAGACTCGTTGAAAGGTGGAAAGTGGAGTAATGGAGCCGAGATGACTGAAGAAGAAGCTTTGGCTGAGCAGCAAAGAATGTTTGCAGAAGCACGTGCAAGAATGAATGGGAGTAACACCGCTCCGAAGCAACTGGAGCCTGAGCAAAGTTTAGAGAGCTAATTTTAGGATCTTTATTTTCTTCCAACCATAGGCAAGATTCCTTGACCCTTTCCATTTGTGCCTCAATTATGCCTTGTGCGTATGTACAAAAAAGAAATGATTAACCTAGCACTGGGCTCTGTGAAGATGCATTGTAATATATATCCATATCCTGCGGATCCATGTCTAGTTAATACAAGTAGTGACTGTGTTTAAAACTGTCTCTCTTTCTCTCGCTCTCTACCCAATATACTATCACAAATGCACACATTTGTCTCCTTACAGCATCTGTGCGTTAGTATTATTATAAGTTTCAGGAATCTGCTCTGCCTTGGCCTTTTGGATTTACTGCGAGGCATTGCTTTCTCAAACCTTCATTACTCAAATGAAACAGATGATGGGTCTCGATTGATTAGTAGATCTTCATTACTCTCTGCCCAACATGGTTTATGAGTTTGCTCTGTGACCCCCCTACAAGCTTTGTGCGTCACTCTCAAACATGGATTTGGATTTGATTTTCGTTGGATTGTCTATTGTGAACAGCTATGGATTATATTTAGGGTGGGTTTTGATGGTGTAGTTTCACTGTTTATGCTTCAAGTCAACAAAATGCCATCACAAGAAAGTAACACCGATATTGCCTCTTTCTGGATTCCCTTCTCTCTCTCTCTCTCTCATGTCTCCCCAAATCAGTTGGTGGGTCAGTCTATGTTTCTTTTGTCAGGATTCTCTTGCAGCACATCAATAAACCTTGAAACTAAGAATTCAATGATGAGAGCCCCACACAGCACAGATAAAGGGGAAGAAACCACATTCTCTTTATTATACACTCACTCCCTCTTAGTCTATCTCCTACCAACCAACCTTCTGAAGAATCTACCTTCCTTACCCCTGGTTTCTTAGCTACAGCCAGTAATGGCTCTGGAATCCTCATCCAGAAGGCACTTCCATTGGACAAGGAAGGTTAGTAATGAAGATGAAGACGATTCCACCTTCAAATCCTCAGCATCTGCCCCAGAAGAAAAGGAGGAGGAGAACGCCAAGCCCATTTCACAGGACTCACAACATCAGCAGCAGGTTGGAGCACAATTGTCAAGGAGGAAACTGCAACAGCTTGCCGTCTCTCGGTTCCGTTCGGTTCTCACTGCCCTTGGCCGCAGCCGGAACCAGCAGCTCGGTCTTCGTTCTCGAGTGGTCGGAACACTGTTTGGTTCTCGCCGAGGGCATGTTCATTTTGCATTCCAGAGAGACCCCAATTCTCATCCCGCTTTCTTGATTGAGCTTGCTACACCAATCAGTGGTCTGGTGAAGGAAATGGCATCTGGACTGGTTCGAATTGCACTGGAATGCGATAAAGAGAAAGAGGAGAACAAGAAACCAGGAAGGAGGCTGCTTGAAGAGCCTATTTGGAGGACATTTTGCAATGGGAAGAAATGCGGTTTTGCTTCAAGGCGAGAATGTGGACCTAAGGAGTGGAAGATCTTGAAGGCTGTGGAGCCAATTTCCATGGGTGCTGGCGTTTTACCGGTGAACGAAGGCACCGAGGGTGGTGGCAGCGGTGGCGTGGAGGGAAAAGAGGGATCAGATGGTGAAATCATGTACATGAGAGCCAAGTTTGAGAGAATTGTCGGCTCTAGGGACTCTGAAGCTTTCTACATGATGAACCCAGATAGTAATGGTGCTCCTGAGCTGAGTGTCTATTTACTAAGGGTGTAATTTGAGCAACCATGGAAGGATTGATCTGAGTTACTCCTCAAGTTCCTTCATTTCAGCAGCTGCAGCTCAGCTAAACTCCAACTCCAAGTGTTGTATTTTCTTCTTTCTGATGTACTGTTACTCTATTATTTCCTGTTTAGATTTTCTTTCTTTTTGTTGAGTATGAGGGGATACATTACAAGAAGATGATGGTGGGTTGGGGAGATGAAGGTGTAAATGTATAGTTTCTGTCTAATTCATGATTAATTACAATTACCTTAGAATGCTATTCATTCTTGCTGGGTAAATCTCCATTTTGATTGCTTCAAAAGGTGGGAAAAAAAAATCTCCATCCTATAGGATCAACAGAGCCTGTGTTGTCTTGTCCAATCTATGACATCATAAGATATGTAATGTTGTTTGGGCATGTGATGTGATGATATACCCAAATTATTAGTGGGCTTCACATTCAATTATGATTGTTTCTATGTTCATGTTTTAAAGATTGCTTCTTCAACTTTCAAATTTTTTTTACTTTACCCATTTACCATCATCTTACGTTTGACATGTTTTTGAACTTACAGACTTAAAGTTATACTGTAAGAGAGAAAAAGCCAGGAAGATCCTTGCTGTTTCATACAAAAGGTAACAAAACTCTATCAGAGTCTTCTTCTTTTTGGGAAAAAAGAAACTCCCATCTGCATATTTAAATAAGTTTCAAAGCAGATACTGTTGTTTTAGACAGCAAAATGGCCAAAAAAGGATAAAAGAAATCCAACTTAATTATCTCTAAAAATAAGAAAGAATCCTTACTCGGGTTAGAGTAGACCAGTTTTTTTAAAGCCTATAGACATAAGATTCTCATCAAGAAAGGAGTGAAGCTACTTGACCGGGAGAGGAGGGAAGCAGCTTTACCAAGTTCAATAAGGGAGAGGAAAATCGCTTTTAATGGCTGAAAATGACGGTGTTTTAGCCAAATTTGGATCATCTTCTTTGTTAACAGCTATAATCATCATATGATTATGAGTATCTATTCTCTCTCATTCTCTACCTAGAAAGAAGCTAATGATCAGAGTTCTATGTATTTTACCTAAACTTTTTTTTTTTCCCTACTTCGAACAGTATTCTTTCTTTTCTCTGTGCAGGACTACTCATCATCTTAGCATCACCAACTTTATATTGTTTGGTCTTAAAGTGAAGAGGATTCAATCATTACCTGGGCTCATAGTTGTCTCTTAAATGATCCCAAGAGAATTTTTTGCAAGAGCCAAATCATGGAAGTCATAAAAGAAATATTTATATATCAAAGAAAGATAAAAAAGAAAAAGAAAAAAAAAAAAAAAACCTCTTCCTGACAGCACAGCTGAAGCTTTTCCTGTTTCAATTCTTGACTGCTTTTTTTCCCCCACTTTGGAATTTGGTTCTTTTGAACCATTTAAGTTTCCTCCATAGTTTTGAAAAACTTCTCCTTCCTACAGTGAACTGTATTTAAATTACATGTTTACCCCCATGAAGAAAAAAGGGAATGATTTGCTTTTCCTAGTTTCAAGGCTTTCTCTCTCTGCCTTTTGTTACTTTATTCAATGGGGAGAGGAGGGCACTGGAGAGGGTTTGGCTCATAGATGGGTCAAGATCATATTCTATAAGATTATCTCTCAAAAGAAAGGAAAACCCATTGTGAGTTTTGATGATTGCTTATCATACAAAATGATAGTGGCTGCCTCACACAATCAACAGCCACTAAGATCCACCAGTTTTAGTGCAAATTCTTCATTTTTTTTCTTTCTAAATCGAAAACTAAACCAGTTTGACTCATTGACTGCCATCAAATTTGCAGTTGAGAACAAGCTGCATTGAAAATGAGACAATGACATATGGTCTTTTGCCTTTTGCCTGTCTTGGGAAGATGAGAGATTAACTACCAACATGGCAGGAAGTTCATTTATCGAGCTTTGTTTAGAAGCATGCCTGTTATCTGTCATATAGATTTTGTTTGATACCTTTTGATTTGATCTGTTTATCGTTTCTTGAGACTTAGCCATCAATTATATCTGACTGTCTCACAGTAATTCTTAGTTGGAAACATTCTTCTTCTCTTTTGTTTCTTTGATTTCTTTCTCCTCATGAATTCAGATGCTGATATGTCAGTCTGTGGTTGGGATGCTATGTTTACAGCCATAGACGATAGATCTCTTCCTTATTGTTACAGGAGGAGCATTTGTGAGATTTCACATCAGTTAAAGAGGGAAACGGAAGATTTTCTATAAGAGTGTGGAAATCTCTCCCTAACTGGCGCTTTGTAAAATCGTGAGGCTGACAGTGATACACTACAGGCCAAAAGAGGACAATATTTACTAGCGGTGGGCTTGACTTGGCCTATTACAAGATTACTTCCCTCAAGTATGATTTCAAATGGAGCGAACGAGAGTGTTCATACAATTGGCACAAGAAACTTGTATAACTTTTGGCAACTTGGAGAAATTTCCAAGTTTGTCAGTTAGATACATACTTTCTCCACTTTGTTGTCACATTTAAATTCTGGAGTCTACATGAGAGGGTTCACATGTGAAAGCTCTCTTTCCAAGTAGCCTGGCAGCTTAGTTACCAACAAAAACAGCAACCTTGCTTCACTTCAATCTCATATTTTTCAATTTTGTACATTCCTTCTCTCAAGTTAACCATAAACATGGTGGGTATCATTCTCTACAGAACAGAACATTCAAGTTTCACAGAGTTAAGAGAGAAAATAAAGTTGAAACTTGTCATTCTTGGGGTGATTAATAAATACCCAGATGATACCTCAGACAAAGCAAACAAAGTGAAGAGATATCTCATGGAATGTGTTCCAGTTAGTCAGTACATGGGTTTTGACTAAGAAAGAATAAAATAATATGTAACACAGTTTCAGTCGCAAAGATTCACATAACAAGAACAGAAAAAACTAAGAAAATCTATGGGCTAATCAGTTGTGTACATGAAAAATCCATCAGAAGAAGCAGAAGAATTATATACCATAACGCTCCCTCCTAAAGCAGGACTTAGAACTTAGTCGGCATTCTGTTTCTTTATACCCTTTTGTTCTTCTCATAGTGCCAATCCTGTTTCTTCTTGTCAATCTTCTTTGAGTCTTACTCCGAAGCTATGGCTTCTGTCGAGCAAAACCCGGCTGCGTTGTCGAAAACATAGAAATGAGATGGATGAATGATCAAGCTGTTAGAGTTTGGAAAGTGGTTCTGAGGTGTTCTGTTAGAGTTTCATAATGTAAAAAGAGACACTACCTGACGAAGCAAAGAGGGAGCAGCAGTAGGAGGTTCTGCAAGGACATGGCTTCTAGTCTTCCTTCCATTTAATGTGGCAACAGAAGGGCTATTAGTTGTTGTTATGTCCCAAAAGCTTCGTTTTTTAGCTGTTGGAGCTGGTGATTTGAAACGGTGGCTTGGGCTCTTCAGCTCACCTACGCTTGGTTCCTTTGGTCTTAAGCTGCTTCTTGTCCCTGTTGCTTTTTCGCCCTTCTTCAAGAGTTCATTAATAAGATCATCTTTGTGCTTTAACTCCACAATGTGCTCTTTCTTTGTCTTCTCAAGCTCTGCTTCTAATTGTTTCACCGTGCGGCGAAGCTCTCGAACCGCTTCCTCTGCTCCCTTCTTTCTAGATTCTGGTGTAAAACAGTTCCCATTTAAGAAGGAGGATCTTGGTTTTCGTCTCTCATTTTGGTGGACTGATGTTGGAGGAGTTAGAAGAGATGTGGCTGAAGACGGGGTCGATGAAGCGACCGCAGCCAGGGATTGCGCCTGTAAGGTTAGCAACTTCTGTTGCTGACGAACCAACTGCACGCGCAATTCTCGATTTTCTTTCTGCAATTCGAGCAATAGTTTAGCCTGGTCTGATTCAGATTCGGGTACCTTCATCATTATCTCCTCATTTGCCTCTGCAATCTGCATTCAGTGATCAAGTCAAATCATTTCTAATGGAAAGTTTGATGTTTTGCCATGTTTATGATGCAATCCTTCAAAAGTTTATGATGAATTATAAGTAAAGAACAAGTTTGTTGGTCAAACCTTAGTTCTGATCTCTTTAGCACGATCAGCCCAATGAAGTGTATTTTGGGTTTCACCAAATGATAAGTTGCTTGGGCTAATATTTGCAATCATCACAGTGTTACAAGCTCCTCCTAATGAGTCCTTAAGAAGCTGTGTGAGTTTTGAATTTCTATAAGGAATGTGCTTCTTTCCTTCCACAAGGGCATTGATGCAACTACTTAGAGCAAGTAGTGATCTGTTTATGTTTGCTCCCTCAAGAGATCTTAGTGTTCTTTGGTCTGTGGCAAGTGCCCTCTCTGACCCAGCAAGATCAATCAATGACAGCTTCCCTACTCGGTTTACGACGTTCATTCCACCATCTCTGGCTTGGTATTCAACTGTTACCTGAAGTATAGCATGAGACCGTGAAGAAGTTTCGTTAACACGGGTCGGTTCGGTTGTGCGGTTTTGATTTCCCCGCTGAAGCAACGCCATCACCTAGGCAGAATCCAATAGAAATTTGAATCTCCCCCTTCTCCATTTCATAAAATTTCAAACTTTCAAAACTATAAGGGAGTTAGAATGTTACTTCATCTGTGGAGTAAGCTCTGTATTGTGTAAGACCAGCAGCAACAATGCCCTGGAGTATCGGAATAACCATTTAGCTGAATAGTAATGAAGAAATTTTCCATTAAAAAAAACAAGATAACGAAGATTTCATATGATTCAAATGGGATGGAATGGTCCAAACTCTCCTAGTTTAGCTTGGACTTTTTCTTTCGGACTTCCCCTCAATGTTTTAAAACGCGTCTGCTATGGAGAGGTTTCCACACCTTTATAAGGAATGTTTCGTTTCCCTTTCCAACCGACGTGGGATCTCATAATCCATCCTCTTGGAGGCCAGCGTCCTTGCTGGCACACTGCTCGGTATCTAGCTTTAATACCATTTATAACAAATATTGTCCTCTTTGAGTTTTTCTTTTCGGGCTTTCTCTCAAGGTTCTAAAACGCGTCTTCTACGGAGAGGAGTTTCCACACCCTTATAAGGAATGCTTCGTTCCCTTCTCCAACCGACGTGGGATCTCACAAACACAATGTACAGCACAGAGCCAGAGAGCACAGACCTGCTTGTCTTCTCGGAGGACTAATGGCCTTCCTGGCGATAACAAATCTCTGACTGTTTCATTGTAGACCTCAATATAAGAGAGGTGAACGGCATGGTTCCCATCGCAGCTCCTCTGCCTAATCTTTGTGAAGAGGTCTTTGATAGCTAAAACCATAACTCCAGGGTTCTCAACCGTTCCTAGCATTGTGTAGGTCTTTCCAGCCCCAGTGGCTCCATAGCAGAACACAGACCCATTCCTTCCCTGTAATACTCCCTCTACAACCTCTGCTGTCCTGCTTATTCAAATTGATACCCATTTGAAGGGTTACATATTAAGGTTTAAATGCAATAGAAATGAGTGAAGTACAAGCTCTTTTGTATTGAACTTACGTGGTGGAATAGACTTCCTTCTGATTTGTAGTGTCCGGAAAAGAGGCATCAAAAGTAAAATGGCGTCCACGAAGCCTCTTCAGCCTCAGATAATCATTCTCATTAGCAAACTCTGTCAAATAAAGATCTCTTCCATTCACTATTTTAACACAACACCTCGATCCCGCTTCCTTTTCCCTCTTACCCATCGGCCTTAGCCTCACAAACACCAAAATCCGGGTTTTCCCAGAACTCTCCTTCTCTGAAGAACTCCCAAATTCCTCCATTTCTTGCATATTCTTACACCCCACATTCTCCTTCTCTTCCATCACAGCCATTGAGTTCCCTAACGACAACTTCCTCGCTACACTCGTCAACTCACTCGCCTTTCTCGAGCATGAAAACCCGACAATTCGATCGGTTCCAACCCCCACATTCTCCTTTGCATCGGCCATCGGTGGTTGGGGAAGAACGTAAGTTCTTGTAACAGTTGAATTAGGCATTGCATTTTCTCTCATCACATTCTCAAGCTTCGCCTCTTTCACCTCTTTCTTACAACAACCCTTTAGCTCCACGCTTGGATGCGTTGTGAATCTTAGATCTTCCCCTTTTGGTGATGACCTCTTGAGAGCTGCAGAAGCAAGCTTCTGCTGCTCGTACAAAAGGGTTAATGCCTTCATTTTCTCTTTCAATCCATGGTGAAGATTTCTAGGTGGAAGATTCAGATGCTGTTTATCTTCTTGACATGAAGTTGCTTCATTTTGGCCCTCGTTCATGATCTGAGACCGAGTTGAAACAGGCATTCTTCTTTGATTTTCTCACTGCCCAAACATACCCAGAAAATCCCACTGACCCAGTTCGAAAATCTGATGTTTTTCCAGAAAATTTTCCCGGAAAGTGAAAAAATCTGAGCAGAAAATGATGATTGTCCAGAGAAGTAGCAAAGCAGAAGAACCGAGCTCACGAAAGTTGAACTAGGGAAGAAGAGAAGGGGGGAAACGAAGATTAATGGTAGAGAATCTGAGGCGTTAATCTGTGGTGATGGAGGGCTGGTAGTGGGGCGGGGAAAATCAGTTTTTGAAGTTAGGTGAATGGGGCACTCCACTTTTTTGCTTCTTCCAGTCTCCGTCCCACAGTGGCGTTTTGAAATTATGGTGGTAGGGTGGAGTGGATGAAGCAATCAGTGGAGTGGCGGTACACATTTTTGCCTTCCAAAAATTTGAATCCCTAAGTTCGTAACGGTCATAAAATTTGCGTTCAGATTCAAACGGGTTGTTGCCTTTCGAAATCGAATGTTTGTGACCGCACTGGATTACTCCTCCGCGCTTTAATTATATGAAATTTGAAATAATTAAAGACGAAATCTTTTTCAAAAGAAGTGGAGTTTTAGGGTGATGCTAAGGTGCATCAACTACTATACATCTCAATATCCTACCGTTGATGTCAATGGTTGATCATAAAAAATGAACGGCAGTGATTGAAATTTCTTAGATCTCATAATAATTCTTATAGAATTTTGTATGATTATGTTATATTAAACTTCATTTGAGTTTTCCCCGCAAGTAAAAGCAATTCAAAGGGGAAGCAATGATCGATGACAATGCAAGATGAGTGTCTTTCATATCGTACATTTTCTATTACGAAGATATGATGCATGTATCGAGAGAGAGAAGTATAAATACGAGGTTTGTCCTCACACAAACACAAAGGTATACAAAACTCTTACATGTCACTGAGTGAGACAATATAATGTATGGGACATAGCATCATGCCGATGCTCGAACTCTTCTCTTACACACATACAAGTCACTGCTTGACACTATTCAAGGTCAACCATGATTTGCTAGACCAAAATTTGACACCAATAATGAAAGAAACACTTTCTATTTTTATTAAATGAGAAGCAAGACTTCATGATGTGTGTGCTTCCAATTGGAAAGATGATAATTAATTACATTAGTTGGGATTGAGTGTTAAATAATCGCATACCCAAACTTGTTATGATGAAGGTGTTTGTGCTGTCTTTTAGCTCGTGGCTTCCAAGCAAAGGCCATTTGGGAAAGCAACCAAATTAAATTATGAGAATTTCTCTTATAGTACATTATCAACAATCATAATATTCAATCTAAATAGCCACTTATAGTCTAGTTAAGCAATAATTAAAGTTTTATTTATTAATTCAAACAATTCTATAAAGTTCAAGGTATCGACATTTTCATTGACATTATTGACGACGACTTTCAAACCGTACCCACAATACATTCTCCCAGAAAAAAACACGCTTGGAAAAGTGTAAGGAGAAGCAACAATCACACTCTTGTCTAATCGTTAGTTTACCAAAAATCAAAATTTAGTTGCAGAATTTGAATGTAAAAACTTCTTGCAGCATGCTTCGGCAACAAACATCTATGATTCATCCTTGCAAAAATAAGCTTCCTTACCAATGAAGTCCTTAAATCCACAGGTGCTCTCTCCGATACTCGCGTACGATCACGGGTACGCTTGTAGGCGGGATCTACAGTTCAGACCAATAAGAAAACAAGTTTAACTCAAAACTGCAAAACACAGATAAGATTATTGATGACAGTGCAAAGTGGCATTCATAATGGACATGAGTGATCTTGTAACAGTGAAAGGATTACAGCGTAGTTTGTTTAACCAAACAGAACTTATATCCCAAAAGGTGGTTTGCTTTCCAACGTGAAAAGAAGTCAACAATAAAGAACCTAGATGCTTGACCACCTAATTATCTCAATTTCAACCTTCATCTGAATGAGCCAAGGATCAGATGCATCAATCTCATGAGTTTCGGCTTCCTTCGACAAAGAAGCCGAAACTCGAAACTTAACCCCTTTGAGGTACAATAACTGATTATAATATGTATCTCAACAAGTGCCTGAGACAGAAAGAGAGTAATATTGATTGAGCAAAGCTTACCATGCCATAATCTGTGACAATCATTGAGACATAATCTGAAGGTGTAGCATCATACCTGAAATAGTACAAAACAAAGTTAGAATGCAACACTTTTGAGGTACAATGACTGATTATAATATGTCGGTTGATTTACATTAAATTTAGACATTGCAGTTGTTCTTTAGCAGCCAAATTATCTAGATAATTAACATCCTTCCTTCCTGGGACCTTTGAAATAGCATCTGGATCACCTGCAGGAAATCTCAAAATGCTTAGACATTGTCCCTTTACCCTCTTCTGGAAGAAAATAAGAGAGAAGATGACATAACAATATGTACCTAATTCATTGAAACATATTGAGTCAAGCTGTACCCTTTCATGGAATTTATAGGCTTCGCAGCAGATTAAGACTGGAACATGGAATGCATTAGCAACCATGGCAACACCTGCAGTTCCCACTCTAGAATATACAGTTCCATTAGACAATACTGCAGCGGCCCCCAGAAAAACTCGTGTTACTTCGTGCATCACGTAAGAAATAGCATTTATATGAGTGTAGGTACACTTTAGGCCGCTTGCTATTAGCCTACGAAGCAATGCTTGCCCTTCCAGTTTTGGTCGGGAATCCACCACCACAACACGGAATTCTTTTCCGAGTTCATGTGCATATAATAGAAGCATCTCTACAGCACATGATGATCCATATGTGAGAAGAACATCTCCATCCCTGATTTTAGTAGCAGCATGTCTAACTATGACCTCATCTGCAATGATAATCTTCTCATTGATAAAGCGATCAATATCTGAGCAAAGTGTAGCTTTTACTTCAGATTCCAGAAGATTCACTGGTAATTTGGCAATGCGGTTCTTCAGAAACCTAATTGCATTTCCCATGCTAACAGATAGTGGCCTGCACTCGTTGAAGAATGACACATAGCCACCAATTTTTGCAGTTAAATCTCTACCCAGAGATTTCTGTGGCGGAGTTGAGTAGTCTTTGATGGCCTGTTGAAAGGCATGAAGCATAGCAATACAGCGAGCATTGCCTCCACATATATCTCCGGCCATATATTGTAAACCAACCTGATAGAGTATAGGTATGTGACTAAATTAGACAAACACTAGTCAGAAAATTTATCATAGATACTATAAATTAACGACCATATATATATATATATATATAAAAAGAGGCCATCCATACATTTAAATCACCATGTTAGAGTGCATAAAGTCTCATAAAAATAAAACTCTCGTCATAGATCATCAAAATGAAATCTTAAAACATAACAGTTCTAATCAAACAGGGGCGAAGCTATGAGATTTTCATCTGAAATGGGAAAAGTAAGAATCTTGCGACAAAACAAAACTGTATTAGGTAGTTTTTAATTAAAAAATAAAATAAAATAAAAGGAAAAAGAAAGAGAAAATAACCTTGTAAATGGCAGGATGAATGGTGTCAAGTTGGAAAAACTTCGACACGAGATCAGGAAGCTGAGTTCCCTGCTCATATTGAGGCAAATGGCGAAATAATTCAACCCTATTTCGAGCTTCAGTTTGGTTGAAAACTGCTCGCTTTTTAGCCTTTTCTACCCTATTTTTATCATCAAACTGCATTCGTGGATGGGGCGCATCTTTCTTCCTTTCTTTATCAACTGTGCGATCACCTCCTCTTTTGTCAGTAGATGCAACCGAAGGTGCAGCAGTGCTATCTTTCATAGCCGAAGGCTGCTTCACAGCTTTACCAGGAACAGTACCTGACTTATTCGCCTCACCTTTAGAGAACCAATAAATATATGAAAAATTAAGAAAATAAACAAATAAATAAAACAAATGAACTAGTAATTATATGAGCTCTCAAAATTTTTCTGTCACATAAAAATCCAAAGAAGGGAAAAAGGATAATTATTAGCATTCATAACCAAATAGAATGACCCGTTAAAAAGTTACCCGTGCAATTAGAAAATCCAGGAATTAGAAACTTTTGTACAAATACTCCCATGTACAAATGCACTAAACTGATTCCACTTAACCCTGTACATTTCTTGATTCAAAAAGTGTTCACTTTCTAGCCGGATTTGCATTTTTGAATAATTAGCAATATAGTTCATGGCACATTTCAAATGATTGAAATGGAATAAAACCTTTTGCAGAAACTTTTGCTGCTCGTTGTGCCTCCTGCAGAGCCCGTCTTTCAGCCTTCGTTGTTTTTGCCTTCAGGGGTTTTGAACTTGATGGTGGTGGTTGATTTTGCACCTCTGTGGATGCCCCTCCATTATTTTCTGCAAGAGCAAAGTAGTAGAAATGAGAAACCAGTAACCCAATGCAAGTTCCATAAGAAAGTAAATTCGCATGTTCACAACCATGCAGAATTTCACTGTTGTTTTCCCTTTTAATCCTTCATTCTAATAAATGTTTTGGCTCCTCGATATGAATGGAGTTCAAAATTGGGCACTATAGCCAGACCATGCAAGCATGACAAAATCAGAAAAAAATTGACAAGTTCCAACAGAGAAGTAGATTAGTTGATGATGCTTTACAGTCGTTATTGCTAGTTCTACATAATGAACAATGTTGTCATAGTTTTATTGAGTTCATAATCTCCAAAGCATTATCCAGTTAGCCCTTTAGGACAATGTACCAACTCACGGTGATTCCCCTTCCTTTACTCTTTTCAATTCCATACCTCTTTCTTGAAGAACCATACTTTTCCTTTCTCATCTAGTTACCCTGTCCTTTCTTTTCTTCATGATCCTTTCTATTTTCTTCTCCAAACTCTCTCAAACAATAAAACTGAGCGAAGTTCAACTCTAAACAGGGAAAATGGTTCTTTAATTATCCATTAAACGTGAATCATCAAAGGCTCATACAAACATTTATTTAAATAAAAAATCTTCTAAAACGAAAACAAGGCCACTCTTTCTAATTACATCAACCTTGAACGTGCATTCATGATCTGGTGGTAGCACTCTTGAAAAAACAATTAACTAGCACAGAAAAGTAAGAAACTCCACTAAAATAGGAGATGCAAACCATAAAATAAGCTATATCAGTCTGAACAATATAACTGAAATATATGAAGTTATCTTGGGTTAGCTTGAAGTTGGATTATAAAGGGGTTTTAGCGGATATCAGAATCTGAAACGAGATTCTAGCCTGCAATTTATAAATACCTATAACTTACAATAAGCATATCCGAGGAGAGGACACGATATTCTCCCAAAAAGCACTAGGAGCTCAAAAACACCCTCCAATTGTCAAGGATAGCAGCCAAAAAATAAATGCAGAAATGTTTAAAAAGGGAACTAATTGAAGAGAAAAAAGCCATACCCAGTCCAATAAACATAAAAGTTCCTACCCCTTCCATCAATATCCTAGCTTCTATCAACCCATATACCCCAAAAATATAGCTATAGAGCAACTGAAAGTTAAACTCTGGCCTTGAATCTGCCTTCAAAAACTTGTTTAATGAAGTTAGGAGAGCTTCTCGGAGACGCCAGTAAAAGCTGAATGTATCCAAACAAGAAAAGAAAAAACAAAACAAAAAAAGAGCATCGAATGGATTCAGTAAAGTGCAAGACATGGAAACACAGCCACAGCCCCATCTTCCAACTGATATGAAAAAGAAATGCATAGCAGAAAGCGTAATAATTAGATGTATAAAGTCAATGCTGCACTAAAATGCTGCACCTCAAAAAGGAAAAGTACAGACTCAAAATTGGCAGACATTAACAAAATCCCCCTTGCATCAAAGAAAAGGGGGGAAATGAGTAAAGATTAGGAATGCAGTATCACCTGCAACTCCAGCAGGCTTATTAGGTCCCAACGTCCTGAGAGGCACCGCCTGCGAATTCTCCGACGACTTAGCCGCCATGTGGACTCCAAGCCCAGGAAGGCTCGACGCAATCTTCCCGGAACCACTCCGGCGATACGGAACGGAGGTGGAAGAATCCTCGGACATCTCCAGCTCATCGTCCCAAATTCTACTCGAAGGAGAAGTCGCAAGCAGGGTCTGGGAAGGGTTATAACTGCCAACATGAATCTGATCACCGGAATTTCTCCAATTGGCCGGCGTCGGAACAGGGAGCATAGTAGAGCGTGAGGCAAGGTTATCGGAGAGATGACGAGGAGGAGGAATCATGACCGGAGACAAGGGATCGGTGGGAGGAGAGAGGGATTGTTGAGAAGGACCAAAGCCGACCGGACCGGATAGGGAGCGTCCGGGGGGGTTTGGAGCGTCGAGGGTGAAGAATCCGACCTGACGAACTTTGGGTTTGACGACGCGGGATCCTCGCCGAGCATCCATGAAGACTTAACGCGAATAATATGGCATCAGAATTACCAGAATCCACATAAACAGAGAAAGAGAAGAAATGGGTTCACTGCAGAGAAGCTTAATTAGCAGCTTCTGTAGCGTCCGCCATAGCCATAGCCAGAGCCAACTGAATCAGAAGAACACAGAGAAAGGAAGCAAGGGCTTATCAATCGCTCGCGTCTGCTCTACTTCATCTTCTTTTACCGCCACGAGTCAATCAATTTTATCATTATTTTCATTTCATACAAAATAATTTTAAATAATTAAAAGTATATTTTAAAAGTGATTTTAAACACAAAAAAATAATTTCAACTATTTTAAAATTACTCTCAAATATATTATTTTAAAAAAACTTAAAAAATAAAAATTGTAAAAACAAAAAGGAAACGAACAAGGAAAAGCAAAGAAAATTGGAATTCTCAACTCCAATTGAGTGTTGTTATTTTTAAAGGAGGCATCGGCTTCTCTCCAACAAGACAAAAACTTTGGATAAGATAAGATGAAGGGAATATTATTATTATTTTAAACTTGTATTCGTTGTCTAATTTTGAATTACGTGACGATAATGATAAAGTTTATATGAAGAAAAGGAATACAACCAACTATATAGGAAAACAACGTTCAATTTACATGTATTAAATGCTAACGTTACTGAGCTAAAACTCATATTTTAGTATGATTGGGCCTGTGTGGTAAAACTTTATGGAAAAAAACTTTAGATATATGAGGCTAAATTAGAGTAAAGATTGCTTGGAAGGGTCGGGGACGAGACGTTTGGAGGTAGCTCGATCATGGGTCTGGGCTTCTGTCCAAGCTTTTTTTTCCCTCTCCTCATGTGATGGCTCGACTTTCGTTTTAGTTTGGCTCCGTTTGGAATGAACTTATAATTAGATTCCAAGGAAGAAATTAAATACAAACTATACACATATTTATGATATATTACGTAAATATGGGTATGAAAGGTAAAGAAAGGGTCAGCCATGGGCACCCATAAGTAGCTCCAATCCCACCACGTGTATCCCTTTCATGTCTTCTCTTTCTCCCATCTGTCTCTATATACACACACCCTTTCCTCAAAATCCTCGTCGTCATTTCTCTTTTACCCGTTCACTCCCACCACCACCTCCTTCTCACCCATGGCCGATCGTCCCTCAACCGCCACCGCCCTCATCCGCCGCCTCCAGGAACATGCACCCAACTCCCCGCAGCTCCTCGGCCTTCTCACCCTCTTCATCTCCGCCTCCATTCTCATCTTCCTCATCGGCCTTACATTCACTGCCGCCCTCATCACCCTCATCTTCCTTAGCCCTGTCATCCTTTTAACAAGCCCCATCTGGGCTCCCCTCGTCTTCTTCCTCTTCATCCCCGCCGTCGGGTTGCTGTCTCTGGGTGGCTTTGCGGTGGCTGCTGCAGCCGGGGTCTCGTGGGCGTACCGGTACTTCAAAGGGATGCATCCACCGGGGTCGGAGCAGGTGGAGTATGCGAGGAGCCGCATTTACGACACGGCCAGCCAAGTGAAGGATTATGCGAGGGAGTATGGAGGGTATTTGCAGAGTAAGGTGAAAGACGCAGCTCCTGGAGCTTGATTAACTAATTTGAAGAACAATGCCCTGATCTCAGGCGGCTGTTGTTTTTGTTCGATAGTTTAAGGTAGTAGTGTTTGAGCAGTGTGATATCTTCCGAGTCGTTATGCTTTAGATTTATAAAAACAGAAATAAATCTACTTTTTTTGTTTTTTCATTCAAATTATGTGCAATCATCAAACAACCTAATTTTGTTCGAAAATTAATTGAACACTTACATATCTGATCAAATTGAGATAAAATTGGAAGTTTGTAGCGGAATCTGATGGATATGAGAGTACAAATTGATATACAAAATTGCGAGAAAGGTAGAGGAGAGGCGACAATTACACTCTTCACCGTTACTTCACCAAAATCAAAATTTTAAGCCACCAGCCAGCCAGTAGACACCATGGATACCATAAAAGTGGTATTTGGGTGCAAAAATGGATGAGGAAAACTCTGGTTGGTTTTACTTTTTCACAACTGAATCATATTGAACATGCTATATCACTGAATGTTTCTCCTCTGCAAAAACCAGCTGCATCACCTTGAATTGAACTGCTTTCTAAGTCATACCCATAGGAGGTGCTCTCTGCGATACTCGCGTACGATCACGGGCACGCTTGTTGGCGGGATCTGCAATCGAGCATGTTTAGGTAAGGACTGTACAGGTTATTTCAGCCAGTCACGAAAAAAATGGAATTGCAAAGACTATGTCGTAAGAAAAAGAGAAAGCAAGCTACAATGAGTATTGGACTAGTTTTCGATTTTTCTTCCATGAATAAGTGTCACCAATCTTTTGGCTCGTATCACCATCACCCTCGTGGTTTTAAAACGCATCTACTAGAGAGAGGTTTCTACACCCTTGAAAACTTAAACTTAAATGAACGTGAGGTCTCACAATCCACCCCACCACTCTATTGGACTCTCGCAATCCACTCCTTTGAGACCCAACCAATATGAGATCTCACAATACGTCGGACCTTGATATTCTTTGAGGCTTCTCCTCAACTATTCTTTAAGAGTTTATTACAACTTCTCACGGGAAAATCTTTTTGGAACGAAACCAGTATTTTGGGTCAAAGGTGTGAGCTATAGATAAAAGGAAACTACAACACTTTCCATAATAGGCCCCATTACAAAACTTCTTGAAGAAGAAACATAGAATGTCTAAAAATAAATCCTTAGGTGGTACTACACCTTCTATGGCATAACAAACCATTGTGCTAATGCCACTCATATTTCCTTAATTCCTATAAAGTTCAGTGCCACGAGACCTTTGAAGTTTAGGGTCATCATAGTGGCCTTTTTTTTTCTTTTTTGTAAAGTTTTGTTTTTGTATTTCAAGTAGACTCTTTCACGTCCTTTCTTCGATAATTTCTAATCTGCTAAACGACCTTTAAATTTTTTTATTTTTCTCGACTTTGGTCTTAGAAAACATAACTACAGGAGATTACCGGCATAAGAGGTCTTCTTGTGCAATCTCACCATATCGGCATTATATTTGTGGGTCAGTCATCTTTTTATCTCAAGTGATTCCTACCCCTAATTAATGGTTATAAGCCCTATCAGAGTAATACCTGTCGTGTCTTTCCAATAGGCCCTAATTCCCTTTTTTCTTTCTTTTGCATACTTTTTTGGACTATCAAGTAAATGAACAACAAGAAATGACATGTGCATGCACAGAGAGAGAGAGATATACACTCAGACTTACCATGCCATAATCTGTGACAATCATTGAGATGTAATCTGAAGGTGTAGCATCATACCTGTGACAGTATAAATACCTAGTTAGTACACATCCTTACAAGACAAAAATAAAATAAAATAAAGAGTATCATGAATCTATTGCGGATATACATTAAATTCAGAAGTTGCAAATGTTCTTTAGAAGTCAGACTATCTAGATAACTAATATCAGCCCTTCCAAAAATCTTTGATATAGCATCTGGGTCCCCTGCAGGCAATTAGAAAGGGCTCAGAAATTGACCGTCCCCAATTGAAGGAAGAAAAGAAGGAAGAACAAGCACAAGAATACGTACCTAATTCATTAAAGCATATTGAATCAAGTTGTACCCTTTCATGAAATTTATATGCTTCACAGCAGAATAATACTGGAACATGAAATGCATCTGCAACCATGGCAATACCTGCAGTCCCCACTCTTGAATATACAGTTCCGTTAGCTAATACAGCAGCAGCACCCAAAAAAACTCGGTTTACTTCACCCATCACATAGGAAATAGCATTTATATGAGTGTAAGTACAACTGAGGCCCTTTGCTATCAGCCTACGCAGCAATGCTTGGCCCTCAAGTTTTGGTCGAGAATCTACCACCACAACACGAAATTGTTTCCCAAGATCATGAGCATACAATAGAAGCATCTCTACAACACATGGTGATCCATATGTGAGAAGAACGTCTCCATCCCTGATCTTGGTAGCAGCGTGTCTAACTATGACCTCATCAGCAAGCATTATCTTCTCATTGATAAAACGACTGATATCTAGGGAAAGTGTAGCTTTCGCCTCAGATTCTAGAAGACTTGGTGGTAATTTGGCAATGCGATTTTTCAAAAATCTGATTGCATTACCCATGCTAACAGACAATGGCCTGCATTCATTAAAGAATGACACATAGACACCAATTTTTGCAGTTAAATCTCTAACGAGAGATTTCTGTGGCGGAGTTGAGTAGTCTTTAATAGCCTCCTGAAATGCATGGAGCATTGCTATACAACGAGCATTACCGCCAGATATATCTCCAGCCATGTATTGTAAACCAACCTAATAGAATATCGATATGTGACTATATAAGATAATCACTTGTCAGAGTAAATACACGGTAATATCATAAATTCTTAACGCAATAAGCAGTTCAGACATTCATCACATTACCATCTAAAGACTATCAATACACTATTCATAACGATATCTTCTGTACACACGTCTCAACATGTAAAATTGCAAAAAAAAGTAAAAAAAAAAAAACATTTAAGCTAATGAAAAGAGAAAACTATGGTCATACATCAACTTCATGAGATTGGAAGTGGGGTAAAGCTAACTTAGGACGAGAAGAATATGAATGTTGAGAATATTGGTTTGGATATCAGAATTTTCAACGGACATTCTATGGGTAATTCTTTTAACAAAAAAAGGAAAATTAAAATACTCCGTTCTTCATATCTAGTAAAAGTTCCATCTCTTCCTGATTAAAAACAACTGTATTGTTTTGATCTCCTCTATGAAACCAAAATTTTATAGCACTTATGACCATACAGTTCATATTCTGTGATACTAACGCATATCATGAGAAAAAGAAATTTAGCGAATATTTTGTGCTCAATTTCAATCTAGAAGGTGATGCTTGGCATTATTTCTAACTCATATGAAATCAAAAGCTATATTAGCTAGTTTCCACAAAATGCACCTTGTAAATGGCAGGATGAATGGTATCGAGTTGGAAAAACTTTGACACAAGATCAGGAAGTTGAGTCCCCTGCTCATATTGTGGCAAATGGCGAAATAATTCAACCCTATTTCTTGCTTCAGTTTGATTAAACACAGCTCGCTTTTTAGCCCTTTCGACCCGATGTTTATCATCAAATTGCATACGTGGAGGGGGAGCATCTTTCTTCCTTTCTTTATCAACAA